TACACGACAAGCTCAAACCCACTTGGGAAGGACCGTTCATGATCAATAATGTTGAAAAAGGAGGAGCCTACTTATTAATCGATGCTACACATCTCATCTCATGCCTCTATCAACAGGTAATATTTCAAGAGAAATTATGCTTAAGCTTTTCTTGCTTTTGATATACTCATTATACTTTATAGAATTGATGTTCAACGCTTATTTATTTTGTAATCCATATTCTAAGAAATAATGAAAACACTCTTTTATGTTATATCTTATGTGAGCTGTTGTGACTACCTTAGGCCAGTTAAAAGGTTTTCAAAGTTCATAATGAGTACATGTAAGAGAATCCTTATGTTTAACTTAATTTGATTACTTGTTTGCATTTAAGTCAAAGTGTAAGTCCTTTAGGGAGTCCTATGCCTTTTGCCAGTGATAATCCAAATGAGAGAAGCCATGCCTTCCGGTGAGCCACTTCATGCAGGGTCTCAAATCAGAATACCTACTCATCATGAGTATGGTAGATATGCATGTTCCATTCATTCTGCATGAATGAGGAATATTTCCTTGTCCCACTCATCATAAATGAGTGTCGTGAATATCCTTCTAAGGATATATAATAGCTTAATATCTAAGCATTTTCGAATAGATCATTATGATAGTTGATACACCTAAAATATATAATCTTTATGTACACATTTTTATACCTACTTTTAAAATATTACGCTTTAATGAAAGGTATTTGTGTGTTTGTCTTTTAGGTACAATCAAATGGATGAAAAATTGTGAAAGATGTGAAAAAGGATCAAATTTGGAGAAAAAATGAAGAATGTACAAAAATGAACTGTGGCGCCTAAGCGCCCAGGACTGGCACTTACGTGCCAGTTAAGCTCTATGTTGAATTGAGCTTTATGTATATAAATCTTCAATTGTTATCTTCTTTTTTTTTTTTTTCAATTTAACACATTTAGTTTTAGGAATACACAATAGATATATCTTTTCATATAACGTAATTTTGACTCTCCTTAATGACTTCTTTTGAGATCAATGTTATTTGATTTGGTTGAATAAAACATGAGTAATCCACATCTACTATTAAGACATTGGGTTAGATTTATTTCTTTCAGTACATGCATCTTGTTTTCTTATTCAACATTGTAATCTCTATTTACAAGTATAATTTAATAACTTATTAAAAAATTATTTAATACATATTTAATACAAAAATATATATTAATAATATATATTTAATATGTAATAATTAAAATGTAATAACTCTTAATATAGCATTGTAATTATCATGTTTTTCAGGACTTTATAGCAATTATGTGGTTCGTTTATTACAATACCACTCTTATGCACTTTGTTTACAAAACCTAACGATAATTTGTTTTTATGTGTTAACTCAACTAATCTGAAAGTCATAATTCTTGACAATAAATTTAAAACTTTATATTCCACTTGAAATGGATAAAACTAAGATAAATAGATCCCAAAGGAGACATGAATACACAAAAAAAAATGTTGAATCTTTTTTTATTAGTTTCTAAGTTAGACAAAATTTTATATGAAAATTTTTTGCTCCATAAAAAATTTGTCTCCATAAATGCTTCAATATAATGAAGGGATCTCAAGAATCTTTTAGTGTCAAAATGATTTTTTATTAGATATGTCAACACGAGGTGGAACATGGTACAACTGGATTAAAAAAAAATAGAAGATATTATATTTAATTTTGAAGAGAAACATTGTCGCTAATCCTCATCAAGAGTTTTCTTAAATGACTTTGGTCATTTAGGATGTAATAAACTATAGGGGCTTGCCCTTATAGGGAACTTGGAACCCATATAATATAAATTTTATCTAATTTTTATATTAAACAAGGGAACTTTTCAGTCACACAAAAATGTTCGCAGACCAAATGGATGACATAATTTTTTTTGTTTACTTAATCGAGGCTGCTATCTAGTAATGTGCCCATTCATCATGATAGGTGCATTGTTTGTAGTGTCGTGCTTGGTTACTTAAACTATTAAAATGTATGAGATCACTTTAGTCTCATTTTTCAAAAAATGTTTATGATTTCTGTATGTATGTATATATATATATATATATATATATATATATATATTAAATCAAAAGTACTTTTTTTCTTAATTCTGATCGACAACAGCGGAGCTAGATGATGCACACTACTCATATAGAAAAACATAAAAAATTGTCTATTGGGATGTCACCATATTATTTGCTTATCGAATGTCTTGTCACTTGCCCCTAATACTTGAACATAAAGCCTTTTGGGCCATTATGAAATTCTATTTTATCTAAAAGATGTTAATGATAAAGGACTACTACAAACAAATATGTTAGATGAAATTAAAATTGAAGCATATGAAAATGCTAAGATTTACAACAAGAATATTACAAAACGCCATGATCGTAAGCGTCATAAGAAGGAACATACCCTTAGATTTGAGGTTCTACTATTCAATTCAAGATAAAAAGTTTATCCAAGAAAATTAAAATTCAGGTGATTTGGACTATTCAATATAGTTAGAGTAATTCGTTCTTTGGCAACACAAATTCAGGACCCAAAATCACCCCAGTGATTTAAAGTTAATGGCCAAAGGTTGAGACCCTGTCTAGAATGTAATTTTGATAAGGAAAAGGAGTTGATTGAGATGAGTCATCCCAGTGATACAACTTTGTTTTTTTGGCTGGGAAATTAAATCAAGCATTTTTTGGGAAGTAACCAAGCATTTTCTTTTGATTTGATTGCATGTTTGCTTTGCCTTAGTTTTTGTGTGATTGTATGAAGTATAATATGGTATTCTTCGAATTTCAAGGTTTCTTTTATGAATTTAGTGTGTTGCACTGAAGCTACCCTCTAGCACTTAGGCTCCAAACCCTTGCTTCCATGCTTATAGAGTCATGATAGCACCTTAGCGTCAATTGAGGTTACACCACAACACATGCTCTATAGTGCCATAACACTGTAAAGCCATAAAAACTAGGCAGTGGTCAAACCTAAATGCCACAGAGAAAAAAATTAGCATTTTCTTAATGATCGGGAAACCAAGAGCACGCCACAACACTAACCCTCAACTTCGCGGCGCTACATTAATTACTTTAGTGAAGGCCTACCAATTTAGGAGTGATTTGATGGTGATTTAACTGTGTTTGATCAATTTGGACCCAGCAACCAAGCAACATAGTCCCAATATATATATATATATATGCTCAACATATATATATATAGATATAGATATATATAAGCATTGGTTCTCAAATTGAATTACAAACCTTTGGCTTTAGATTTCTTGATTCTTAGAGCTCCATTCATCCAATTTTTTTCATTTTATGTCTCTATTTCATCGAGAAATTATGGAATCAAGGTCAGGAGCAAAGGCGGACAAGAAGGCTTCTGATCATTCTATAACAATTGTTTTGTGAGTGAAGAAGCTCAAGCCATGTATAAAAATTCCCTTTTGCATTATAAGCTTATACAAAACATAATTGAAAACATCATCGTAGATTGTGATTGGGAGGACTAATGTCGCTAATATTCTCGTCGTCTGTGATCTTCCGGTGGATGCCACAGAACACAGGGACAACAAAACCTTCGTAAGAGGCAATTGGCTTCTGTTTGATAGTTCACCAATCAATGCAATGTAAAACTTGTTGAACTACGCTACTGATTGATACACTATTCTTGGATAATTAGCAGAATTAATATGAAATATTATGTAATTTCACTAACTTAATTATGGAGTCTAATGCATAGAGCGGGTGGAGAAAAAAATTAATCTCTGCACCAATGCTCTTACAATAGAATATAAAGCTTGATATTCCTTCATTTATGTCAGGATGTTACCTAGCTTAAGTTTCAGCGAGGTAATAAAAGATAGAGCTGCATTGAATTATGCAATAAATAAGTAGTTACAAATCGATGTTGATCATGTTATTATGAGATTTATTTTGTATATGACTCATGGAAGCATGATAATTGAGATTGGCCCCCATCCCTCATTTATGCTATGTGTATAATTATGGGAGCATTGGGAAATAAGAGAAAGGAGCAGATTTTTCCCAAGCATAATGCGTCATGTAAGAGCTCAAGGGAATAAAATCTAGCTTCACCATAGGCTTTTACCTTCTGTTGTTCTCCTTACATCTCTGAACAAGTGTCGGAGATTAAAGGAGATGTTACATCCCAGTGTTAGAAGGAAGATTAGTCGGACGAGCCCGTTGGTTTGCATTTTTTCACCTTGAGCAGCAACAACACTACCAAATTTGTATGACATACACAAATATTTACTTGGCACTTAGCAGTCTAGCCGGGCGGGTAACATTGAGCCACTTCCTTATCAATTTTAATTAGAAATCAGTCATAGTGAGCCGACAATGGAAGGGGGTGACAATGATCATGACTAAAAAGGCTCTGATGATGATATGTCAACGAAGTTCTAGTGGTGTGGATTATTGTTTTGTTTTTAGTTGTATTACTTTGGTGATAGTTTTTGTAGAAATTGAGTTTGAGGTTATCTTTAATATTGCTTGAACTTATACTATGTTACTTATAGTGTAATGAACATTTATGGTGATTATTATTTTATTTTTATGTGATTTATGTTGCCCTGTGTTTTAAGCATGTGTGTTTTTGTGTTCTCTATGAAAATGATTGCTTAACCATCCCCTAATTAAGAGCAACAACATGAAATGGAAAACGAATAAAACAAGTTACTCAAGGTAACATGATCGTAGTTGTTTCTCAAGGAAGAATGTTAAAAATATTTAATAAAGACAAGTCTTACGAAAAGGTTGAGTTACAGGTTTTATATATTTCGTACATATAGGATATAAAATGCATGAACAGAATAGAAAGACATTTATCATTAATAAAAGTGTGTGTGTGTGTGTGTGTGTGTGTATAAAAGAAAATTATTTTTTACTATAAAATGATATTAAGACTTAGTATTTATTCAAAGAATAAATTACACCTCTGACATAGAAATGCAATAAAATGAGCACATTATACAAATTATTTACCACTTTAGAAAATAGACAACCATAACATTGATTTTTGTCCTTTTATTAACTAGTTATATTGGATTTAGCTTCGTAATTGAAATGACATTAGGTCACATTGGCATCTTCTTGCTTGAAGGTTTGTAAGTGTCATTTTCATATATGTCAAATTTCCTTGAAAACTCCTCTGTGTTTATGCCACTTACCCCTGCAAAAAAAGCTGGCGCTGAAGGGGCTTCAATGGACATAGAATAGCTGTTGAGCATGACAACCACTGTTATCATTGTAGGTCTTTGAGAAAAGTCATGTTGTGCACAAAGAAGTCCAATTTGAAAGCATCGCATGACTTCACTTCTCGGAAGAGGTTTTGCTAAGGTTGGGTCTACAATTTCTAGGACTGTTCCATTCTTCCAATTCTTCCATACCTTCTCAAAATAAATCAAAAGATGCATATTGTATAGAAAAGGAAAATGCAATGTGTTTGAGAGCATTGAAAGGAGATACAGATACATACATAACTTAAGAGGTCTTCAGAATGGTCATCATTAAAGAAACTTTTATTACTCCTTCCTGTTAAAATCTCTAAAACTAGCACTCCAAAACTAAATACATCAGACTTGTCTGAAAAATGTCCGTGCAATCCATATTCTGGAGCCATATATCCACTGCATCAAACTCTTGAGTTTATGACATTGGTCTTGAAACAGTAGTGAAAGTAGTAAAAATTTAATATTTTTTTAAACTTACCACGTTCCAACAACATTACTCGTCTTCCCTTGACTCTCATCTCCTCGAAAAATTCTAGCCATCCCAAAGTCCGAAATTTTTGCATTCATGTCTACATCTAACAATATATTGCTAGCTTTAAGATCTCGATGAATGATCTTTAATTGGGAGTCTTCATGTAGGTAAAGCAAGCCACGGGCAATCCCTCCTATGATCTCGCATCTTTTCATCCAGTCTAGTAGCTTACTTTTCGTTGGATCTGTGTCACGTACAAATATATAAAAAATGTTGAGTCAAGACAATTTGATGATAATGACGAAAGGAGCCAAATCAGTACACCCTATTTATATAAAAGAGTGATTGTAATGTGAAGTCAAAAAGCAAGCTGAATATTTACTAGTGTTTTAAGCTTTGATTAAAAAATAAGTACAAAAAATATTACCAAAGAGAATTGTATCTAAGCTTTTGTTGGGCGCATACTCATATATGAGCAACTTCTCTGTTTTTTCCAGGCAGACACCATATAGTCTTACAATATTTTTGTGATGGAGTAGAGCTGTTACAACCAGTTCATTTTTTAGCTCTTCAAGCCCTTGCCCTGATCCTGCTGAGAGCCTCTTGACTGCTATTTCTTGACCATCCGGTAATACTCCCTAAGAGAAGATCAAAACAATAAAAATGTTGACAAATATTTTTGGGAAGTAAAACATCTATAGAAAATGAAGAAAATACAGGTTAACATTTTACCTTGTAAACTGATCCGAAGCCCCCTTCACCAACCTTGTTAAGTTCTGAGAAATTTTCAGTTGCTACTTTAAGTGTGGGTAAATCAAACAATATAGTTTCAACCTTGGAAAACTCTTCAAGGTTAGCCTCGCCTACAAAAGAATACATTTTTTCTAATTACTACATATATATATATATATATATATATTGCTTTTGAATCATCATAAATTTAAATTTGACAGTTTTTGATAATGATGAGTTCCATTCTTAAGATATAGGGTCCATAGTAACCTGAATAGCTCATTGTATTCATTCTTTACTGTTCTATAATATAAATATTATGATGTTCTATGCTTTGCGGTGTGGTGAATAATAGTTTCATCTTCTTCTCTATTTCTATCTTCTTCTTCTTCTTGCCCTCAAAATCCCCTTGCATCTTCTTCTTTGTTCTTCAGTTTATACGGTATCATAGCTCCTTTTTTAGACTCCACCATGGATGATTCCGGATCATCATAAATACATGAAGTCCTTGTAAATCTTCGCATATCTGAAACTTCCATTCCACCTTCACTGAATATTCTGATGTCCAACATGAAATCCATGGTCCCAAATACTTTATCCGCCGGCAACCATCAACTATGGAGACCTCAAATCATGATGATCACCAAAGCCAACGGATTCTTGAGATATATTTATGGATCAATTCAATCACCTGTCTCAACGCTTTTCAGTGATTCCAACACTGTCACCGTTAATCCGCATATACCACATGAACTAAGATAGATTAGAATCATGCGGCTGCACTGTACTCAACAATTTATGCATCCATTTTATCTTATATGTTACATCAAGAGAGCTACAGTGAAATAGGGCTAAACTTGGAGAGGAGTTTACAATGAGCAAATTGGTATAGGGTTCTTCAACTCAAGAACAAATTGCACAGTATTACTATGCAAAATCTAACTATGAAACAATACTTAATGAAAATCAAAACCATAGTTGATAACATCTTAGCAATCAGATCAAAGTTGATATTGAAGATATCATACTTGAGATCCTCAAAGGGTTATCAGCTTTCTATCAAGCCTTTGAATCTACCATAAGAACCCAGCAAGCTCCCATTAATCTTGAAGAAATGTACGCACTTTTAACCAGCGAAGAAATTAATCTCTCCTTTGATTTGAAAGTTGAGATCACTGATTTGGACCACCAACTAGCCTTTTATACAAACAAAGGTAAGAACAAATACTCTAAAGGCAGAGGAAGAAACACCCCAGCTCACTCAAAAAGAGGCCAAGGTCTTCATGTTACGCAAACCAAAATATCTGGATTGGTCTCTTGTTAAGTAAGTAATAAACTGGGACATTTTTTTTCAAATTGCTAGCACAGATTGAATATAAATTATCAACCAATGATCTTTACAAATCCATCTACCTCCAATAACCAAATTACCTACATCACGTCATCCAAACCCTCCAACAAACTCGACTGATACATAGATTCTGGCCATGATCAGGTTCAGCATCCAGAATCATATCAAGGTAACAAACAAATACTCATTGGCAATAGGAATACAGTTCCTATTCAACATTCAGAAACTGATATTCTTCCCATCCCCACTCGTAAGCTAACACTTTCCAAGTTACTACATACACTTCAAATTTCTCATAATCTGATATCAATCTCTCAATTCGCTAACAATAATAACCGCATGATTTTCTTTGTTGCTGACAGATACCAAATAATGAACCAGTTCACAAACCAACTACTTTTTTAGGGTACCTACATAATGGGTTATATCCAATTATCAATAATAAACAAGCTCTTGCATCCGTTACTACTCAAACCGACTTATGGCACCAACGGGTAGGACATGCAACTCTTATATTCTTCAACTGGTACCCAAACAACAACCGCAACAATATATTTTCAATATGTCATCTTTTTTCACTACATCTATTTCTTCAAAAAGTCATCGTATGTCATTTATGAATTCTAGTACTACTCAGTGTAGTATATTAGCTTTAATTCATACAGGTCCTTCCCCACAATTTCTATCCATGGTTACATATATTATGTACTATTCAATGATGGTTTTACAAGATAAACATGAACCTATCCTACGATGTAAAAAATATAAGGTTATTGCACATTTTATAAGGTTGAAACACCAAGTTGAACTTGAGTTTAATTATCGTATGAAGGTATTAAGAACCAACAGAGGAGGCGAATAGACTAGTGATTAATTCAAGGCTTTCTTACCTTTGGCATCATCCACCAAATAAGTTGTCCTTACTCCTTAGCAAAACGACTCTGAACGAAAGCATGGTAACATTTTGGAGACTACCCGAGCTCCTCTACCTGACTAATATTTTCCTCATTCACTCTTGCTTAAGAATGTAAAATCATCCATATATCTTATTAACCGGCTTCCATAAAAAATTACTTTCAGTAAATCTCCTTATCAGCTCATTATGGAGCTATACATGATTACAAGCAACTAAAATCATATGGATGTTAATACTTTCCCTTGCTACCACCTATACACAGAAATAAACTTCAACAATGATGTTTATCTTGTGTATTTTTAGAAAATCCAGACAACATTAACGGTTATAAAATGCTATGGTCCTTCCACTGTCACGAAACTGGACTCTTGATATTTTATTTTCAATAAAATTGTTTTCCCTTACAAACAAAATATCACACCTAATAACTCTACTAAATCAGCATCTCACTTGTCCTCCCCACTCACTCTCATACCCTTTTCTACCATTCACAACTCAACCTATAACACTATAATCTCTTCGACCCGACCAACTAAATATCATTTACCACCCAATCCTTTAACCTAAGACATACCAAATCAGCCTCATTCGCCGCTCAACTACCGATCCGAGAACCTATCCACTGCTCAAACCTTTCTTCCTAACCCACAACCATTGCAACACCCCATGCTAATCCAATCCAAAACTGAGTCTCTACAGCCTAAGAAAATAATTAATCTCTTACATAATCTTATCTGACAATTCGAGCCTACCACATACAAGAAAGTGCTCAATTTTCACAATGGAAACAGCCCATGGAAGAAGAGTTTCAGGCGTTACAAAAACACAAAACATGGAAACTTCTTCCTCATCCCACCAACCAAACATTTCTTGAAAATAAATGGACCTATCGAATCAAAAGGAAAGCTGATGGGCTTGTTCACAAATACAAAGCTCATTTAATTGCCTTTTGTTATCAACATTAATAATGTTTAAACTACACAGACACATTCAGTCCAATCGCCAAGATTCTTAAGATACAATTACTCCTTATTATTACTCTTCATCATCATTAGAAAGTCTTACAAATGGATGTATCTAATGAATTCATCATGAGACACTTCAAGAAACAATTTATATGCATCAACCTCAAGGTCACATAGATCCTCAATACCTTTCTCAAGTATTATTTTTACAGAAATCATTATATGGTCTTAAACAGGTGCCAAGGTAATGGTTTCACACATATACCAATCACATCATCAAATTTGGTTTTAGAGTAGGAAATGCATATTCATTTTCTTATACCTACCATCACAACACGAATATTCTCTATCTATTGTTTCATGTGGATAAAATCCTTTTAACAAGGAACAACTCGCGGCGGACTCAACAACTTAAGCAAGACATAAAGCATACATTCTCCATGAAATTTTTGAATTATTTTACCACATTTCTCAGTGTTAATATCAAACATACTCCATATGGTTATCATCTTAATCAAACCAATTATGCCAAGGAAATTCTTCATCCTGTAAGCATGAGTGATTGTAAATCTCTGCTCAATCTGCAAACCATCTCCACCAATATAAGCATTGTTGAGAAAATTAGGGCGAAGAAAAACAGTAATCGACACAAATCCAGAAGAACACAAAGATTTAACGAGGTTCGGCAAAGATGCCTACGTCCTCGGTAGCAGAGCGGCGAGTTCCTTCCAATATTCAGAAAAGAAGTTACAAAAATCAGGGATACCTCCTGGGGTTACTAACAAACCTATTTATAACCCCAGGAGTAAACCTTAGGCACAATATGTAATTACAACATTACCACTGTACCAAACCGCGGGGCTTTGCCCCCGCACCCCAACCCACGTAACTTCCCAATTTGGACAGATTCTTCCGCTCCGCTCTGCTCCGCTTCGATCCAGCGTCTGTCCCGATATGATATATGAGTCATACCATAACA